TTGATACGAGTATTAAATAATTAAAATGTGAAACTTAATGTTTCTAAAAATAATAAACCAATAAAATTAAAGAAATAAAGATAAATCATGTGATAAATATAACCAATAAGATGATAGAATGAAATAATTAATAAAAATTATGATATGTAAAGTTATATCATAACAGAACTCCCAGAGTTAAGAATTTTACTCCGTAAAATTAAGAATTAAATAAAAAAATAAAATAATATAATATAATTAAAATTTTTAAGCAGTGAAACTCAAAAGTTCTTGAATTCTACTAGCTAAATTGTCATTGTTTTTATAACTTAATTTATTAATTACTGATAGAGTAAAGTAATTATTCAATCTACTATATTCTAAAATTTCAGGATATTCTGAAAATATTGATAAATTCTTAGTGTGGCCATGACTTTGAATTGAATATTGTATGGATTTATCTTCTTAATCAACTTTTTGGCTTCTCCACTTGTTCTTATATGGCTCATTCCAAAGGTGAGATCATGAATGATTCGACCTATTTTATAGAATATGGTGGTAGATGAATATAATCGCATATCCAACATATCATTATATAACAATAATGAATATTCAGCTAATGGATATACTGATGGTCTGGCTTTTACTTCTCTATTTATGACTGCTTGTAATATTCCTTTAGTAATTTTCTTTTCTAACTCAGTTAATTCGATTGATGGTCCTTGTATAATAAGAGGTTGTATATCTGGCATTTGAATATCAGTTGTGTTGGTATTGGATAATACAAACTGATATCCATTTGGATCGATAATTAATTGTTCTTCAATATTACATATCTTCATTTGATGATGTAATGTTTGAGTTAATAAAATAATTTGAGAAGAAATATGTGAAGGAATAATAGAGGTCATTTTGGTAAATTTGTGTAGTAGAAATTGTATTATATATATGTAAAAGAAATATTATTTTTGTAATTAATGTTGTTGTTACTATTTTCTCTTTTTTTTAGAAGTGAAGAGATTATTTATAAGAAGATTTTTAAAGATTTTATATTAACTAAATTAATTAATAAAAGATATATAATAAATTGGGATCAGTGTATTTTAAAGGGAGACTAAATCTATTTGGATTCATTGGATTTTTAGATTCATAATTTGATCCAATAAACATGCCTAATTTCCAGATTGTAATATGTAATTCAACTATTTGTGCAATGTCACTCGTGATCCACAAATTTGATTGGTCATAGATTTTTGTGTGCGAATATAATTTATTGTGTAATAGTGTGATAGTATTAATTGAATTATTAATTGGAGTATTGTTGAGGATGTTTTTCTTGTTTTCAGAATGCTGAAAACTAGAAATCAGAATACTGGTAGATTGTGTACTTGTATCATTATTATTTTTATTTGTGTTTTTCATAGGGACTGTTGTTTTAGTACTAAAACACACGGGGAAACTGTTATTTTTGTTGTTTTTCGTGATTTCATTTGGTTTAATGAGGACGTGTGTGTTTTTGTATAATATTGGAGTTTTCCAGTATTCAGTGAGATATGTACTCCATTCTTTGAGTGTATTAGGTGAGTTTCCTATTTTTATTTCTGTTTTCTTTTTTAATTTTTCACCATTTCGGATGTTTGTTTTTCTTTGGGGCGAAGTGGTGGTAATGATAGTTGGTGATGGTAAATGAATATGTATTCGTATCCAATTTTCATTATCTGGAAGAGAGGTGTCGAATGACAATTTTATAGTACTAACTGTCTGTTCATGTTGCTTTTTGTAGGACATTCCTGTTTCATTGTTGTTACTGTTGCTATCGCTGTTATCCGTTGTTATTGTCCATGGAATACTGGTCGTATCTCATTCATTGTCTTCTTCAGTTTCTTGATGATTGCTGTGATTGAAGTTAGGTAAGTTATTCCATTCATTTGTATTTTTATTATTTGTCTTTCTTTTTATGTTAAATTTATTAATCTGTTCATTTTGTAGTCAGTTTTTCTTTTCAGATAGGTTCCTGGTTGGTCATATTGGTTGGCTAGGTCTATCGATCCAAGATTGAACATTTTCTGTCAACATGTCTAATCTCATCTCTTTAGTTCATCAATTTTCTGATCTCGATGGTTTCTGACTGGTGATTGCCATTGGCTGGTACCATCATTTTTCATTCTACTTGAAAGTGGATGGGTGGTGTATTTCTCGTGAAGGAGCGTTCATTTTTTTCCCTTTATTTCAGAATTTCTGAAGGTTTCTTTCAGATCCTCTAATGTTTCTGATCACATAATATTGACTATGTCATCGTTAGTATTCGTATTCCTGATTTTTCTTATTTTTATCTTACTTATTCTCAAATTTTCAAAATTTTTATCTTGACGTGATTTTGAAGACGATCGGCAGGTCGGGATTACAGGTTTCCAGCCTGAATCTGTCATTCTTTTTAACTGAATTCTTTTTCTTTCTTCTTCTAATTTGGTCATAGTAATGGTGATGATTGATCCATCATTACTTTGAGTATCCTCTGCTTGTTCTGGATAGACATTTATGTATTTCCAAATATCATTATTATTGATGCAATCTTTATTTTCTTCATTCAAATCGATGATAACTTTTTCTTGATAATCTGTGCATAACTCACAGTTATTATGATTTAAATGTAATTTGTTTTTACACCAATGGCAGTTGCATTTGATTAAATTGTGTAATCAGTTTTGGAATCTATCTTCTATATTATTTTCAAAAGCAATTATTGCAAGTATAACCAAGATGAGGTGAAGTTTTCCAATATCTGGTGAAGTATATATGTGGTAATCTAGTTTCTTGTTCTCTATAAGTTCTTCTTGGATGATAAGATTTAAGACAATGATACTCTTAAATTGAGATAAGTGTAGACATTTTTGTTTTTGTTGAATTATAATTAATAGTTGTGTTGTGAGTTGTGATTCTTGTCCCAAATGGTGACGTAAGATTTAATCAATCCCGTTTAGCTTAGTTTATTGACTTCTCAGTCAGTTGTTGATTAATTTTGAATCACAATTATAGGTTCTAATTTATTATCTTTTTTGTATAATTTTAGGTGATCTCCATTATATAAGTTCTTAAGAAGCTTTTCATTTATGATTCTAAGTTAATATATGTCTTTGTCAAATATTTGGTAAATGTAATATGGGTCTTTTCATTTTTTGCGAAAATTTTTCATGATATCAATACTGCATTTCCATCCTCTTCATTAAGACTTTATCGCTGATAAAGAACTTTTCTGGGTGTTTATCTTGTTGGTAAGATTCTTTTTGTTTTTGTTAAGATTTTTGAACATTTGTTTGGCTAATGTTCTATTAATTTCTAATTTATCTATTATAGTGCAAGCTCTTTTGATTACTTCATTTATTGTTGTTTCTTGTCCATCTTCCAATAGTTGAAATTTGAAATCAATTGGTGTTTTAGCTTGTCTTACATAAGTAAGATAAAATGGTGTGAACTTTGTTGCACTTTGTTGCATTGTTCTATATACAAATAATACTGATGGTAAGTAAAAATCCCATTTATTTTGATGTAATTGAACAAATTTGATGATAGATTCACATAATGTTCTATTAAGTCTTTCTACAAGTTCATTTATTTGTGGGTGATATAGTGCTGAGAGATGGTGTTTGATTTGATAATTTTGGCATAATGTTCTAATTATTTCATTTGCAAATGTAGTGCCTCAGTCTGAAATAATTTCTTTTGGAAAGCCATGTTGACAAATAATATCTTCATATAAGAATGGTACTATAGTTGTGAAGGCAGCATCTGGTATTGCTCTTGCTTCTGTTCATTTGGTTCCATAATCAATAATGACTACTATATATTTATTATTGTTTTTGGTGATTGGTCGAGATCCAATTAAATTAATTCCAATCTTTTCAAATGGTGATTTGGTTTCAATTGGATGTAATGGATTATTCTTTTTCATTTTGCTTTTTCGTTGACAAACATCACAAGCTTTAATATAATTTTCAATATCTAGGTGCATTTTAGACCAATAATAATTTTGAGAAATTCGATTATAAGTTGCTTCTATTTCAAAATGTTCAATTATTGCAATAGAATGTTCATTAACCAATACTTCTTCTACTTCTATAGATTTAATTACTTTAAGTGGTGTATTAGAATCTTTTTGATTTCTTTTATAAAGAGTTTTGTTTTTAATAAGGTAATGAGTTATCTTATTTTTCAATTTCTTTTGTTCTCTTACTGATGAGTTTTCTGGTAATTGTAGTATATCCAAATAATTAACGAGTTGATAATATTCAATTAAATCCATTGTAACAGGTATGAATTGTTCAAAATAAGTTATCAAGTTGTATATTAGTGTTGGTTTGTTTTTGAATTGATTAAGTTGTTATTGATCTAGGTTGGTTCTTTTTGGAAGTGACGTGAAAGTGGATCAACATTTGAATGTAAGCGTTCTTTACAATATTTTACATTATATGTGTATTCTCACAAAGTCATAACCCATTTTGCTAGTCTATCAGATAAATTTGGAGTATTGAATAAGCTTTTCAAAACACTATGATCAGTAATTATAGTAAATGGAATATTTGATTGAAGGTATGATTTAAAATGTTCTACTACCCATTTTACTGTTAGGCATTCTAATTCAATTGCATAATAATTAACTTCATATTGATCTGTTTTTCGACTGGTGTAAGTGACTACATGTTCTTTGTTATTATCATCTTTTTGTGATAAAATTGCTCCAAGTCCGAAGCTAAAAGTATCAGTATATAATAGGAATAATTTGTTGAAATCTGGATATATTAATATTGGTGATAATATTAAGTGTTGTTTAAGTTCTTCAAATACTTTTTGACATTCTTCAGTCCAGTTAAATGGTTGTTCTTTTCTCATTAGATAATGAAGTGATTTAGCTATTTGTGCAAAGTCTTTTACAAATCTTCAGTAATAAGAAGCAAGATCAAGAAAATCTCTTAATACAGTTAAGTTGTGTGGTATTGGAAAGTTTTCAACAGTGATTATTTTTGCTGGATCTGGTTTGATTCCATCTTTGCTAATTACATGTTCAAGAAATACCAAAGAAGTTTTTCCAAAATGACATTTACTGGGTTATAATTTTAATCCATTTTGTCTTAATTTGTCGAAGATAATTCTTAAATAAAGTAAGTGATCTTCAAATATTGTTAAGAATACATTTGTGTTATCTAAGTATATGACCACAAATTTATTTAACTGATTTTTGAATACTTTGTTTATTAGTCGTTGAAAGGTTACCAGTGCATTTGTAAGTTCAAATGGCATAACATTGAACTTATATAGTCCTTCAGTAGTGATGAAAGCTATTTTTGATCTATCTTCTGGTTTAATTTCGACTTGTCAATATCCAGAGGCTAAATCTAATGTTGAAAATTATTTGGCTTTTCCAAATATATCTAGTAAATTATCAATTCTTGATAATGGAAATTGATCTTTGATGGTAACTTTGTTTAGTTATCGATAGTCTACACAAAATCTAAGCTTTTCACTTTTCTTCTTTACTACTATAACAGGTGCAGTCCAAGAACTATCAAAAGATTTGATGATATCTTGTTTAAGCATTTTGTCAATTTCATTTTGAATAAACTCTTTTTCTAATGGTAATCTTCTATAATATGATTTGAGCACTATTGGTTTGGTAGTTTCAAGATTGATTTCATATTGAATTATATTAGTTTTTCCAGATATTTCAGTATCAAATAGATCATGATATTCTACCAACAATTCATCTATTTGTTGTTGCTGTTTTTCAGTAAAATCAGTTTCTTCGATATTTATTGATTAAAATAATAGTTCTGGTATTAATTCTATTTGTCAATATAATTCTTTATCTTTAACACAATGTAAACAATTTTTATTGTTATCTTTGTCATTTGCATGTGAACATTTATTACTTCCAGTTAAAGTGTTTTTTCTCATTTCTTTCACAATGATATGATATATTTGTTGATCTTTTATTTGAGTATAATATTCATTTACTTCAATATCTAAGATCACTTGTTGTTTCATTTCTTCTAGAATTTTTAATAATGGTTGGTCTTCTAGATTTTCATCTTCATATTCTTTTTCATATTCTTTTAATATTTCATCAATACCAGTGGATCCAAATCTATTTTGACCACTTAGTGTTTGACCAAGTTCTTCTCGTGTATTTACTTCTTTCAAGTTGGAAATATTGATTAAAGGTAAGAATATTGCTTGAGTTATTCTTTTATTTGGTCGAATTTGTTGTGTGATATTAGAATTATTATATAATAGAATTTCAATATCTCCAGTATATTCAGCGTCAATTGTGCTAGCTTTGACTTCAATTCCTTTCTTTGCCAAAGATGATCTGAATTTTAATTAACAATAACTTCCGACTGGTATTTCCATTGCAACATGAGTATTGATAAATGTGACGTCATTTGGTAATATATTTAATATTTCTTTATCAGGATATCTCATATCGAATCCAGCATCTGTTTCATGTATTCTTTCAGGTATTTTTCCTTTTCTATTATTAGTAAATACTTTGATTTGGATTCCATCTTTTGTTGTAATAAAATTATTATTTCCAATTAATTGTTCTCTTTTATTTAGACAAGATACTGGAACTTGAACTTTTTCATTATTGAACTCAAATATTAAAGTTCTTATTTTCCAATCTACTACTATTTGATTTTTATGTGCCCAGTCATTTTCAAGTAATAAATCATAGTTACCTTTCTCAGTAACTAGAGCGTTGATTTTTAAGTTCTTTTTACCAAGTGTAACTG